GAATTGATGATATTTGCTGCTGGAAATTCGACAACAACACGCCCGGCGTTGCGTGTGCGTCGCAAGCCAAACTTTAGGAAGCGAGTAGACAGTAGGTCCTTGTTCTAACATGAATAATTCCTGTCGAATATCACTAGAAAAATTGTCCAGATGTTCTGCTTAATTTAAAATGATGAACTGGGGTAAAAAAAAACAACAGTTTTCTGAGCTGAGAGTTGGCTAGGGCGGGAAGGTATCGAAGGAGCCGGCGGCTTGCCCACATCGGCAGCGCAGCGTGGATCCGGCAGCGTCTGCGACTAATCGAGGCCGCAACACGTGTGGCTATGTAGTAACATTGTTGTCTCTGCTGCTTAAACAAGCATCTAAACGAGGACGAAAGATCCAACGTAACGAGGACCAAACACCCATGACCACGAGGACGAAAGATCCATAATATAATAGGACAAGAAAAACGGTTCATCATTTTTAGAAATTGGCGTCACATGATTGTCACTGAGAAAAGTAGATGGACAAAGGTTCACTAGCGTTATAGCCGGCTGCTAAGTAAACAAACATGGCGTCTGGCCGGGTCGACTCCGCCGATTCATAGTGATTTCTTGTTCCCAACGTCATATAACAAAGTCATATACGACTTATTTCATGCCAGAATGTAGCAACTTGCGGTACCTGCATCAAAGACCTCTTCATTTCGGTAAATTTCACTTCTGTACGGCGATCGCGTTAAACAAACATTTCGTAGTCGGCAATGTAAACAAACATGGCGACTGGTCGGCTCGCCTCCGCGATCGCCGATCGCCAATTCATAACGATTTCTTGTTCCCGCGGCGATATACACGTTACTTCATGTCAAAATACAGCAATTCGGTATGTTATCTCATCATATCAGGGTGTATTCCGGTAGATTTTAGCCTCTTATATGTGTTTTCCGGTGTTTTCCGGTGTTTAACTGTGTTTTCCGGTGTATTCCGGTAAATAGGCAGACCCGCCAAAAATTAACCCCTGACCCTAACTCGTCCCAACATGCAACACGACCAACATGGCCGCCAAGTTTAAATTTTTGTGAGTTGCGACGTGTATATTCTGCGATAAAATCCACTAAAACGAGGACTGATCCGATTTGAAGTCTTTTTACTTGTACTTTCATTGTTGCTGACAACTTAGAGCAGCTACATGACGCAGTCTATCGTGGTTCAAGGTGAGAAAAGCGTTTGTTTTTGTTCCAAAATCATGGGGGAGGGGGGCAAGAAAAACATTTTCCACGAAAATATTTAGTTTACACGTCCGCACATTTCCACTTTATCGAAGATTCATACCTGTTTGAAAAAAAAAATGTTGATGTTGAAGAGTAAAAGATTTATTCTCATTATTTCGTGTTTTTTCTTCTTACAGTTGGCCAATGCGGAAACCAGGTAAGCAAATAATTTTGTAACGTTGCATATACATATTTTTTTTTGCTGAGCCGACAGTGATCTTACCATGTCAAACGTTAAATTGCATATGTATTATTGCCGATACGAATTTAACAAGTATTGTTCATAGCCTGCAAATTTAGTATCGTTCTCCTTCTACCTCCAACTTCACTTCTAAGTACATTTGTATAAGACTTAACTTTGAGTATGAGCCATAATTTGCTTAACCACAGATTTTGTGTACTGCTGTAGAGCTTTGAAGCCTATTTTGGTCAGTGACAATGTAAAAAAAAGTTGTTTCTTTTCAAGATTGGTTGTCGTTTCTGGGACCTGGCCCTCAGAGAACATGCCAGCACAAATAAGGTGAGCTACCTGACTTTGATTCAAGGTTAGCTCTACGGGTTTGTGTCTATCAGAAGCTCACCGCCACCGTGCTTTCGATGGTGGACAGGGAGTGGCGCCCCTGCCCATTGAGGAGCTGCAGACCACAACACATATACCACAACATATATATACATTTACATATACATTTATATCATACATTTGCGACCACCCCTATCAAAAACCCCTACCCCCACCGTGCTGGAGCCCTCAAACTAGTGAGGTTAGCGCGAAAAGGGAAGAAGAAGAAGAAGCTTCATCAGGTATCAGACCCTAGTGTGACATCTATCTAAGATGTCTCCCATATAATGAAATCAGTATAGCCTAAATAACTGCTTTACTTTGCTTAATTTTTATCTTAGTCACCAGTGTCCACCTTTTTGTTTGTCTTTATTTTTACAGCCACCACTGGTTGCACAAGGGTGATAGAGATTTGTCTGGCACATAGAAGATAACTTACTAGTATGCTGATCTGGTGCTTTTATTCATTGCCTTTGTTCTATCTCAGGGAGGTACATTTGATGAACCTCTGAGCAGCTTCTTCAGAAATGTGGATGCCAGGTACTCTGAACCACTGGACATCCCAGTCGGACGGGGCAGGGAGAAAATATGTAACCTGAAAGCCAGGGTGAGCAGGGTCTTCACACTCTATATAGAGGCTTTTCATTGTCATAATAAAGTTGGATGGGTTGGTCACACAAGTTTGTTACGCTAGACCATGTAAAGTTTAACACTTATAATGCATTGCTATGCATACATTGCCCTTTTTACCTCATTTCTCAAAAGACCTTTGAACTTCCAGGCAGTTCTTGTAGACATGGAGGAAGGTGTGGTGAGTGAGATTCTGAAGGGACCCCTGGGAGATGTGTTTGACCATAGACAGCTCATTACCGACGTTTCTGGTTCTGGAAACAACTGGTTAGTTTTGGTTGTCTCCTTTTTTTTTACATCCTTATGATGTCCTTTAGCCAAATCAATGCAAGATATGTAAGAAAAGGATGACCTGTCCCATGTGACCACTTTTTAGTGGTCCCTTGGAATAGATGATTTTCCCATCGACACAATCATGAAGAATCCTGTCTATGGTGACAGTCCCGTGATGAGTGGTCTTCTCTCTTAGGCAAGTTTGTACTTATGAACTCTGTGTAGTTACCTCCATGAAAAATGGAGGTATTGTTATCTACATGAAAATGTATTGTTATAGTGTAAGATTTTGAAGTTAGCTCCCATTTCAGATTCAAGCTTAGAAGAGGAGCAGTAAGATCTGTAACTAGGTTTTATTTTAGTATGGTGCACCCAAAAAGTTTTTGTGCTCCTAACTTTTTAGGTTGGGTGCACCAGTGCACTTATTCCCAAAATGAATTTCGAGCCCTGCATTTCATATTACACATTTCATGAAGATCTGGTCTCTTGTTGATATTGTAGGGCTGTGGGTCACATGATGTATGGGAGTCTGTACAGGGAGCAGATCTCAGAAGCCATCAGGAGGACGGCAGAGATGTGTGACTGTCTGCAGTGTTTCTTCACTCTGCACTCCATGGGTGGAGGTCAGTTTGCAATTTGTTTTGCATAACTTTTAAACCACCTTCAGGCATAACACCTATACTAGGCTATAGTACAAGCTACAAGACTGGACTGTAATTGTAAAGCCCCTGTCACATGTAGCCAAATATGGACTTTCAACACTGTAGAACTTCCTCCAACCATGGTTAGGAGTACTCAGTACATGTACCGGTTAGGAGCAATGTCAGCTGTGATTGGCTGGTGTTCGGTGAGGTTAGCTACTATTTGGCTGTACCAGCCAAATATTTTAAAATGTTTTAAACATTTAGTTGTGGACGGGAGGTTGGACCATGGTTGGCTGGTGTTCAGAAATAGGTTGGGTGTGTTCAGGGTTCAAATTTGACTCAAATTTAACTCAAATTTGACTTAATTTGTTTCGAAAGGTAGATATGGTCTAAATCTGGTCAGACTGCTCACGAACTTTAGCAAACCTTGATTGGTAGCTTCTTGGAAGGTTCTGAATGTGTGACAAGTTTATTTCACTGCCTATGGTAGGTACTGGTTCAGGTGTGGGAACCTTCATCTTGAACCTTCTTGAGGAGGAGTATCCTGAGGTCTACAGGTGAGAGGAGCTTCCATCCTTCTCAAGATAAACAATTCATGAACATATTATGATTGTTTGGGGTAGATTTTTCCTATAGATCTAATGATAGAAATGGAAGTACTGTAAGAGAAATGTGTTTCACATTGCTCATAGCGTGCCATGATGGATGAATGTATCTCAAGATAAACTTGTTACTGAGGAACAAATTGATTTATCTTTTTTTTTTTAATTTTCTATTGCTCTAATGGAAATGCCTTTTACCTCCCCAACTGAAGTCAGGTGCCCATTTTACACCTGGGTAAAGTGAGGAAGTTGTGTAAAGTGCCTTTCCCAATAATACAACATCTTGACCTCTGTGTCAGCTAGCCTTACCACTTGCCCATTTGATGCCACTCCCTAGATCTAAGAGAAGTGGAAGTACTGTATGGGAAATGTATTCACATTGCCCATCAAGAATCTCTTAACCTTCATCATGAATATAACTGTAGTGTTGTTATGGTGTAGTGGCTAGCAATATGGCACAATGCAAGGCACTGGGAGTATCTTACATAGTCAGTACCAAGGACAGGGAAGCACAGTCAGTACTGGAGAGAGGGAAATGCAGTCAGCACCAAGGACAGGTAAACACAGTCAGTACTGGAGACAGGGAAATGCAGTCAGCACCAAGGACAGGGAAACATGACTACATGGATGGTTTTCCCTGTAGGTTTACCACAGCTGTGTACCCATCAGCCGAGGACGATGTCATCACCTCCCCGTACAACAGTGTCCTGGCCATGCACCAGCTGACTGAACATGCCGACTGTGTGCTGCCCATCGAGAACCAGGCAAGTTTAGTTAATTGTGCTAATTATCAATGCAAAGTGTTACGTAATACAAAATAAAATCAAGCGAATGGATAGATTCTCTGTGAAGTTTATAGCATCTGCTATGGTATCTTTCAGTTCTCTGTCACTGGAAAATTTGTTGAGTTGCTTGATTTATTTTGTATTTCGTAATTTTCTTCCTGTATGTATAACTGTCATCAGTTAAGGGAAACTGTCAAACTTGAGATGTGTTCTTTGCCTGCTCAAATTTCTGAACGACATATCAGAAAAGATAGGTACAAAATGCAGTGACTGAGTGTTGAAAATGTTGCAATAGAGTCTTTAATGTGCTCAAGGTGTGGTTTTCCTCAAACATAGGACCTCTGGCTTCACGTCCCACAACAGGATGTCAAATTGTTATGTAATACAAAGCTGAGTCAAGTGAGAAAATACTAGTAGGTGTTAAGTGCCTTTCCCAAAGACACAACACTGGGGCTTGCCAGGGATTCAAACGCAAACCTTCAGACTCAGGGAATCAGGGAGTCAACAACCTTATGTCTTTGTTCCTTTACAGTCCCTTGTGGATATCTTCAACATGGTGAACCAGGCAGCCAGTAAAACTAGTAAGATCTCCTCCACTAGCAAGGTCAAAGGTGGCAGCACTGTGACCTCTGACCTGGGTGGGATCAAAGGTCAGGAGAAGCCATTTGACAAGATGAACAACATCGTAGCCAACCTTCTGCTGAACTTAACAAGGTGAGATCCATCGAATCTTGTTAATAATACTAAGCCATTGTGAATAAAGAACTGTGCTATTACAAACTGTTTACAGTTGTTTCAGTTGCTGTTATGTAAGACTGATAGAATATGGGTAAATGAAAGGAAGGCCACAATCTTCCATGGTATTGGAGGGTGGAGCCCATCCCTCTTCTTCCTCCGTCTTTTTCTTCCCTAACCAAAGTAATGTACCCACTTTACACCTTGGTAGAGTGAGGAAAGTTGTGTAAAGTGCTTTTCCCCAGGACATAACGTCTAGGCAGTAATGCCAGGGGTCAAACCCCTGACTTCTTGATCTAGTCTAGCCACACACTATAATATTCCATGCCACTACAACCATCCATCCATAGACATTGTAATACATATACATACACTGTACACATCTCAGATGTAGTACTAACCTGGATGTTCCTCTCAGCTCCTCCAGGTTTGAGGGTGCCCTGAACGTGGACTTGAATGAGATCACCATGAACCTGGTGCCGTTCCCCAAGCTACACTACCTGGTCTCCAGTCTCAGTCCTCTCTACCACCTGGCTGATGTTAGCTTGCCGCTCAGGAAGTAAGGCTGCATGGCCGTTTCTTTTTTACTTGGATTTACATTGATTTTACAAAATACAAAAGCGAGACAGTACTAATAAATGGATAGAGATGGAACATGAGCACTGGCAACCCAACTGTAAAACCATTATGATTCAGACTCAGCTCAGAAGTCAAGAGGAGCAGTAAGATCTGTAATTAGGTTTTGTTTCATATTTCAAATGTGGCCTTTCTAGTTAGGTTTTGTTTCATATGGTGCACCCAAAAACTTTTTGTTCGCCTATTTTTTTAAGGTTGGTTGCACCAAAAATGAATTTCGAGCCCTGCCTTAGTACAGTTTTTTTTTTTTCCAGAAGCTGTAAGCATGGGCCGCTGTGAATTTAATCCTTGGGTATTTTGAATCCTGCAATATGTAAGGATTGTGTTGTCTTCCTGTGCAGGCTAGATCAGATGTTCTCAGATGCCTTCACTAAGGAGTACCAGTTGATCAGTGCAGACCCCAGACACAGCCTGTACCTGGCCTGTGCCCTCATGGTCAGGGGCAATGTGGCTGTGTCAGACATCAGGAGGAACATAGACAGGTGACTATACTGCTTATTACTGTGGTTGTTTTGGTGTCCAGTCTTCACTCAAGGTATAACACACCAGGTTATTACAGTAAAGCCTAGAAAAATTATGTTTTGTTTTGTCTAGTTTTACTCCTGAAAAAAATAGGGACAGTAGATTTAGGTTGGAGTGATCAAACAAATACAGTTTAACTATGTAAAATTGTCTCAACATCAGGGCTGTCTCCAGTTCCTCCATTTGTGGGCAAGGGACGAATATTTCACTCGATATACATTCTGAAAATGCGTGAACTAGCATTTCAGAGGGTTTGAAATTCAGATACTAGACGAAAATGTCATATCCCCTGTTAGCAACTCCAAAAAAGGGTAGAGTTGGTGTTTTTTTCTTCAGCTAGGGAACCAGAAACTGAACTTTTTTTTTCTTAGGCCTAGGCTTAAGTATAAGCTGCATAACACAGAACTGTACTGTTTGATCCATTTACTCTGGGATGAACAACTACCCTTTTTTGTTAAATGTGGTGGAATCTTTTCTTTAGCATGCTCAATGTGTGACTCTTCTCTACTCAAAGACAAGGCCTCTGGCTCTACAATCATAGTGGATAAGTTTATCTATTTTTCAGGTTGAAGCCTTCACTCCAGTTCATCCACTGGAACCAGGAGGGGTGGAAGACAGGGCTGTGTTCTGTACCCCCCGTGGGACAACCCTACTCCCTCCTGGCCCTGGCTAACAACTCCTGTATCAGGCACACCTTCACCAACCTCAGGGACAGGTTCTACAAACTGTACAAGAGGAAGGTACATATGTTTGAAGTTTAAACTTTTGTTCCAACAGAAAAAAAAAATGTTCTAATCTAGAGCTTTTGACCCATCGCCAGTCAAGCTCTAGGTGAGAACAATCGGAACACAGATGATCATTCATGATAGTCTATTTAACCTTTTTCCTACTGCCTTAAGGTTCATTAAAGTGGAACATTAAGTACACAGGCAACTGGATAAATTCTTTGAGGACTAAGATGTTTCAGATTAGCATTCTCTATCTTTTCATCAGTGACTGAGAAACTGAACTTTCATTGGTGAAACTTTGTCAGTTATTTGTGAAAGACAGCAGATCTTATCTGAACACCTGGCCCTTCAGAGAATTTATCCAGTTGCTGGATATAGTTTGTATTTAATTTTAGTAGTCCTTCTTCTTCTTGTTCCAATGTATCTGATTATGTCTACATTTTAGGCCCATCTCCATCACTACACTAACGTGGATGGCATGGAGGCAGGACAGTTCTCCCAGGCTCTGGAGTCACTCACAGGCCTGGTCAAGGAGTATGAACAGTTGGAGGGCACCATGGGAAGGGTACATGAAGGAGCACCTCGGTTACAGGTGGCCTCCTGAGGGATCATGGGAAGGGCACATGAGTGAATGCCACAGTTACAGGTGGTGCTACTGAGGGATTATGGGAAGGGCACATCAGGGAGCACCTGAGGGAGCATGGGAATGGTGAATACTGAGGCACCATGGGAAGGGTTCTCAATTTTAGGTGGCCTTCTGTGGGATCATGGGAAGGGTACATGAGAGAGCACCTTGGTTACAGTTGACCTGAGGGATCATGGGAAGGGCACAACAGGGAGCACCTGAGGGACCACGTTAAGGGCGAATCCTAAAGCACCATGGGAAGAGTATATGAGGGAGCACCTTGGTTACAGGTGGCCCTCTGTGGGATCATGGGAAGGGTGCAGTGAAGAACAGCCCCACGGTAAATGGCAGAGAAAGTAATGACAAGGAACAATAGTTAGGCCTTCCACAATTGAGGTTCCTAAGTTGGTGACCTGGAAATGAAACTTTAAAGGTTTATTCAACATCACTGACCTGGCGGACTTAATCAGGTTGGGTTCCTTCATTTGGTGAGTCAATGACTTGGGTGTGTCCCATGCCCAAGAAAATGGCCCCTGATGCACCATCAAAAGATAAATTACATACATGCAGTATGTAAAGAGATTCACAGTGCAAAAGGAAATGGTATGTAGCACGTAAAACTATAGAACATCAGGGTTATTTTTAAGGTTTGTTACCTACTGCTGTTGATCAGCTATGTAAATAGATACTGCTGTAGATTATTCTTGTATGAAGATTGAAATGTATAAGAAGTTATGAAGACACTGTGAAATCTCTGTGAAGGTGAAAACAATTACACCTGCTAAAGAAAATGCTGTCTGGCTTATTTGTATCCACCTGTTGAGTGCCACATGCACAGTGCGCCCCATACTGAAATGCTGCTCTGATAATTACCTTCGCCAAGAAGGTTATGTTTTCAGGGGCGTTCGTGTGTCTGTGTGTGTGTGTGTGTGTGTGTGTGTCAGCACGATAACTCAAGAAGGCTAAGATGGATTGTCTTGATATTTGGTAGGTGGATAGGTCTTCATGAGATGTGGAACTGATTAGATTTTGGGCCTCCTAGCGGCTTGTTATGGTACTGCAGCTGAACTTCCGGTTTTGATATCTCGTGATCTAGACAGGCTAGGGTGACAAAATTTAGATGGTAGGTAGCTCTTGTGCTGGGGAAGAAGTGACGTGAGTTTAGACCCCCTAGCAGCTTGCTCTGGAGCTGCAGGGGCGTTAGTTGAAAAATGTTTAAAGGCGGATAACTCAAGAACCGATTGATGGATCGTCGTGATTTTTGGCATGTAGGTAGCTGAAGTGATGCTTGACATGATAATATTACAATTATGCAAATATTAATGTAATTTGCATAATTAATGAGGAAAATCTATTAATCAGCTGCATTCCATGAAAGGACTATTCAAGCTTGTGTCATATGTAATTAAGAACGACAGAAATACAGGCAGATATCAATTATGCAAATGAGGACTTAATTTGCATAATTAATGAGAAAATGTTATAATTACATAGTGGTAACTGCCTGGAATTTCATACTTGGGATATTTGAAAGCTATGTGAAGGTGAACATAGTTAAACATAATTTATTCAAATAAGGACCTCATTTGCATAATTTATGAGGAAATTCTATAATGGCATTCTTTGATAAGATAAGACTGTCTTCTGGTGTAGAATATGATCAACAGATATAATTGATGCAATGTAGGATCCTATTTACACAATCAGGGGGATTAATCTATAATTTCTTAGTCATAAGGGCTAACATCATTTGGCGAAGGTATGAGATCGTGGAACTCTAGTTTCCCATGCGATGTTTTGGCGCATTGCAGCTCAGCCTGATGAAGTGATGTGTATAAACCAAGATGACAGGCAACGTTTTGCCAGAAGAGTGTACCTCAATAAGTAAGTTACGAATGTGTAGATGTCATTTATTAACTCTTCGTGGCTTCATTTATGACGGCACGGTTAAGTGTTCAGATGTAAAACCCAAGTAGATATAGATGCACATTCAGTCATCAAAGTAAGATGTAGCTCCGCTGTTGAACATTGATTTGGTTTGGTGATCTTAATTAGAACCGTGCCGATCTTACTGATCAGGGCAACAGTTTTTCTCTGCCCCGCGGCTATGACTAGTACCGTGCCGTGTGTTGAACGTCCTTGGTATAACTCAACCTTCCCCCGGTATTGCATCAGACCAGCAGCCAGCCATGCTGAACGTACCGCGTGGGATAGTTTCCCCTCGACGTCACAACAACAGGAACTCTCAACATAGACATGGGGGGACGTCACAATAACATAACCTACATTCAGCTTTAATACCAGACAATTACCCCATTCTATCACACATTTTAGAACATAAAAGCTAATGGTTTCTACGTTAACGAGAGATGTACCCTCGTTGTGTCAGTACGACCGGTTTCTTAAAAGGTATTTCGGGTGTGCCACCGCCAAGTTGTTTTGGACTGGTCCAGCTGTCGACGCGAGGTCGAGTCAGTTCCGTCCACTCTGCCATTGTAAACCTCGGTGCACTGCAGAATAACACGTAAGTACGTACTAGTTCTACTCGTACAGGAAGATTGTATGTGATATAACCCTCGGGATATCATAAATATCTGTGTGACTACCAGGGGCATAAATGATACTACCTTAAGCATGATTATCGACAACTGCGTGTTTTTAAATACCTCTCCTGTACTATAAACAAAGCAAAGGTTGACTGTGTTGTTATTATGTTCACCTGACAACATGACCAACTTGTACCGGGATATTTGCTACACAATGTAAACTTGCCAGGATTCCTTTTATGTCATGTTTTGCTCTAGTTTACTGTCAAAGAAATATTTTCTGTTTTTCGACGGTAGATAGCACGTGGAATCATGACCAAGGGAGCAGAGCATGCATATGGTAGTCTGAGCGCGCAATGGAGCGCCTAGGGCTAGCTATGTTTACCATGCATGTGTTATTTTACAATCAAGGCTTGCAGTTGTTTTCAGAAAGATGAAAGCTGAAGAAGAAAAAAAAACATCAGAATTTCAAAGTTCCCTTAGTACCTTTTACCAAAAGATTACATCTCTAGTTTACAGTGCCTTACCTTATATGACCTCACGGTGTACTACTATTCACAATCCCACGAAAAGCGTTTGATCTTTTAATGTGTTTATCTTCCTCCACCGGGACCTAGTCCTATAATCTATTGTGACACCTGGAGGTTTAACTCTGCATGCCCGGCTGATGCAACTTGCGTCATGCACATGGACGTGACTTCCCTCTGTATGTAGGCGGTACCTCAGTGTACGTGCCGCACCTTCTAATTTGGCCATTTGTTGCAATAACAACAAGGTTCATCCTAAGAAAAACGAGTGTAATGATCACCACCCCCACCGCTTCATAAACACACGTACACAGCTCTGATTGGTTACATTTGATGAATGGATAAATTTGATTAACCTTCTCCCTGCTACCTAATCCCATAACCAATGGAGAATTTGTAGCTTAACGGCTACTTCAGTGTGGTTGAAGTTAATCCATATTTACGATTGCTATTTAACCGTCTCCCTACTGCCTATATACTATAGCCAATACACATTTGTTGCCTGGCGGCTACCTTAAATAGCAGGTTGAGGGTTATCATGAAAGTTCATCTGTGTTAGTACTTGGTAGTAAATCATAGTAAAACGTTAAACTTTATTCCAACACACACATTATACAGAGATCAAATTTTCAGCGACCACTGTCGCCTTCCTCATGATACTAGTAATTTATGATAGGTCATTAATTATCCAACTTTTTACTAAGGTTAATGTATGTATGTATGGATGCATTTTTAGCCTGGTTACCACACCTATTTTAGCTGCCGAGTCTACACAAGGATAGATTTTGAAAACTGTCAAAGTCTGTTTGGTCTGTTTCTGCAAATATTGCACCAAAGAGACTATATATGCAGCTAAAGTAGGTTTGGTAACCAGGTTACTTTTTTTGCCTCTTCAGAGTCGCAACCACGTCAACTGGACTTAACACTGTTGGCTTGGGGCCAGGACAGACACTGAGCAAAGAAAACAGTGCAGGAGGAAGTGAAGAATACAAAACGCGTTCCGAGTATTTCCTACATTTTCCAGTTGAACGTTACCTTCAGCATGTTTACCCATTGGCTCGACGTTTTTCAACTGTGTCAGGAAACCATGTTGCTGAGCTCTGGACTATCAACAGTAGTGGTGCCGACATTCGTTCAATTCCCTTGTCGTTCGTGTAGAGGAACACTAGAATGTCGCTGCGGTAGGGGATGTACGTAAATATTGTTAGAGACTATTGTGTTACAATCTAGAGCATTCAAAGCCTGCGGTCACGGAAAGGTAGAACACTGATAGCACGTTGTCATCGGGTATAGGCCAGATCTATGCTTCAGTGGTATTCAGCTTCACCGAATAAGCCCGAAAAGGTTTTGGTCAACTTCGTGGATTGAAAAGATTCGGCAGGGAATACAGACTTTCTTTCAGCGTGTGCTCTCTTGTATCGTAAACTGGTTTCTATCAGTGAAACGTGGAGTGTTACTGTGAGGGAGGCGCAGACACTTCAGCATGTTCGCGGCGAGTTGTACACGCGCGCTGCGGTGCCGAGGCCGGGGCAAGCTGCGGCAGACCTCCGCCATGTGCGTGCTCGCCGCCGTGTCCTGGGCCGCCTTCTACGTCTTCCTGACCAGGAGAATATTCGTGGAGGACAAGGACGTGAACAGAGCAGCGGCGGCGGTGGAGCTACCGGCCGTGCCACCCCAGGCTGTCGGATGGACGGGTCGCCTAGCTGTAGACAGGTAGAATATGGTGTCTTTGTTCTTCCTTATGCCGAGGGCACATTTCCAAACCGGGGCCCGGCCGGGCTGTTTCGATTGACGAAAAATCAACAATCTATATCAAGAATATACGCAAATAGTTAATTATTAATTTTTCAATTTTTAATTTTCAAACCCATTAAAAACGCATCTAAACTCGTCAAAAACAAGCCGAAGCTCAGAGCTCTGCTTGGACAGTATGTTTGACGTGCCTGTTTGGAGAGTGCCTCCATTTTCCGGATCAAATTACTATATCCGCTCTCCAAATCTGGCGCAACAATAGAGGCACCTCTACACTAACGAAGTGAGAGGCTCGAGTGTTTGACAACTGGACCGGTACAGCGCAGGTGGTGGTTGCGTTAGGCCACAGCAAGTAAAGGTTATGGATGACATCCTCCGCAGACTCTAAATCTAATGCGATAGGGCGAAAAAAAAAACAAGGCGGGCCAAAAAACAAAATTCCTACATTTTCACATTTTTACATCATAAACCTTGTTGAACAAGACATGATACCTATATTGTGCTAAGTTTACTGCCAGCTATTACAACATCCATTTGTCACTGAAACAACTTTGAAAAATACGTTTTCAATCATTGTACAAAAGGTTTGGATTCAGTGGGAACATCACATATACGCAGCCACCATCACGTATAAAAGGAATGAAATACACTTCATCAATTTAGTAGTAAAAGACACAGCATTAAATCAGAGCCTTGTCTTGTCTTCTCTCTTCATATTTATCTGCCACCCACCGGGCGTGGCAACAGACATCTTTGTCCCGGGAGAGTGACCACTGTCAGAGGGCAACAAAATTTTTTTTTTCCAAAATCAGGAGAAAATTGATGCGCGTACTCATGTCATCCATAAAAATTACTCGCTGTGGCCTTATAATACGTAACTGCGATGTGGTGGAAAAGTCTAAAAAAAAAGAAGACCAGTGTGCATCAGTTGGTGTCAGTTTCAAAAACAGGATTTGCCTGGTCAATATTCTATTCTTTATTTACATAAAAACAACATGACCCTGTTGTACATCGACATTCGTGGAGCAAAAATGCTATGTAGTATATATAGTCAATATGGTTACACGTGACGAACTACGAACTATCTAAAAGGTCTCTTTCCCTTTTGTTCCATCAGAAACCACAAGGAGATAATAATACCTGGTGAAGGCAGGTGTGAAGAGCAGACCAAAATCGTCTTCATCAGCGTACACATGGCCAAGGGCGACGTCGTCACCAATATACTACAGGTAAACATCGTGGCTACTTTAGAACCTCCGTTACCATCTATCTGCCGGGTTACATACCTACCATGTACCACAAAAACAGCAACCTCCAAGCAGATGTTTTAATGGCTGCTAGACAGTATCGCAGTAAAAATTCGATTTCATACATTCAAGGACATGCGTACGCAGTTTTCATACCGCAAGGTTTCAGCCAGAAAAGGAATAATAATATGTTCCTCTTGTTTTGTTTTTTTCCATCCAGCGTTTTGGTGACCTGAGGAACCTGACGTTTGTGTTACCTAAGGAGGAAGGTGATGAGAACACGGGATGGCCACAGTGTTTCCAGACTAACCACATGCTGCCGTCACGGACAGGGAGGTCAGTAGCCTGGGCCCGCTTTAGACTGGTGACGGTATACCGTTGCTAGACGATTAGCCGCAGGGAAACATTGTCCACGGGCCGGTACAGGCCCCCCAGTCCTACTAAACATAGGCTTTTCCTGACATGCTAGATCTTTCCAGCCAACCTTTCTAATCATTGCCGCTCTGTACTACGTGTAATTGAAGCCGACCTCGTAATAAACGGCTTGCATCTAAAGGACCTTGTCGGGCGGGCAGCTTCCTCCCAGTACTGTAGATACCGGGAAGCCTACGATGGTCAGGCTGCTAGGCTTGTAGGACAGGGCCTCTATATAAGTGTGTGTGTGTG